CATCATCATCATCATCATCATCATCATCATCATCATCATCATCATCATCATCATCATCATCATCATCACCACCACCACCAGCACTAACACTCCAATTACAATCGATCTCACTCAAACACAGACACACAGGGCTCATCCCGCCCCTCTCTATCCCGAATGATCTTTCTACCAGTTTTTATTGTGAAATACTGTGAACAATATTTAAAAGAAATTATACAATCAAAGAGGTGCAATAACTCACTCTAACTGACAATTCAATCGTTAATTGGTGCAAGCCAAACACAACTTGATTGAAGTTTTATTCAGTGGAATTCAAGGAATAAACGAATTTGTTTTAGTTGATGGAATAAAGCTTGATTTAGAACAGAAGTGTGTTGCATTTGAATGAAATTTCTTTCCGTTATCAGGATTATTATCCCTGATTTATTGTCAGTGATTAAGATACAAGAACAAAAGTTAGAAAACGGATTTGTTTTCGGGATTTCATCGAATCGATTAGTACAGTGAAACATAAACGTCATTTATGTGCCGCGGAACAGTTTGGGCCTTCCATTTCCGTCGACATCCCACCGGCTGATTTAATGTGATCTCACTTTTTGTCTCGCCGGTAATCAGTCACCCATGTACCCACTCACTTTGAGATACCCACATATCCACAAACCACAGACAGATCACCGACTACCGTTGCAGCGTTTTAGTAAGTTATAAAAGTGCTTCTCACTAAACTTTTGCGTAATAAAAGCATATAACGCGTTCTACTAAGCCAGTCGATGAAGTAACAGAAGCAAACTTGTTTGCTGACTGATAGTCACTTCATTACTCCATCGCAAATACTCTCGCAATAATGGTTTGCCTAATTGTCAAGGCTTTTCATAATCTTGGAACACGGTAAAAAACATCGCAAACACTGTGCAGTCATTTTTCCTCCTTAGGAGTCATCGGCTATTGTGAATTCGAGAATAAGGGATAGGTGATTGGACACCTCGTCGTGTTTACCTTGCCAGTTTGATCATCCTTCAACAGATCGTATCAGAAAACCACGTGACCTAGTGCAAATCACTCCGTGTTTAAGACTGTATCGGACTAGTTTATAATTACAGACCTGTTAGGCTTCTGCAGAAAAATTTTCCCAACTCTAAATCCAGTTGTATTCCGATGATTCTGAATTTGGGAATTAAATAGTTGCACAGTTCCACAATGTTTTTTTAGTGGTATCTATTACTATCTCTAATTCACATGGCGAATCAAATTTTCATTTCACCAAAACCTCCACGATTCTACTACACTCATTAGTAACATGTGTTACTCCACTCTATTGTTCACAATTGAATATGTTCAATCCAAGGTTCTGAATGATCGTTTATTGGCAAACAAAAACGGTGAAGAAGCGGTTGTTGTGATCAAACAAGGATAGATCAAATATCTGCCCAGGGTAAAAGGCGAGACGGAACATCAAAGGGGTATCATTTCGATAGACGATGATAACTTGAATTATATTTGGCGCGTGTGTTTGAGTTCTGGATTCACACATATATACATCTGTGCGTTCGTTCATCTTAGTTCCGGTAACAGTCTGGTGAGTGGAGAAGATCGGGCGATCTCTACCTTCAAGAATGGCTTATCCACCGCAGATATCGTCAGTGGGCTGTATTGAAGTCAGATAGGGTGGTCAATATGTAAAGCTTGTGTCTTTGTGAGTCTTTTTTACTTCTTTTTCTATTTATTGAATGAACAAATGTACAGTAAACTTTCAGGAAGGGGGCTGCGACCATACAAAGGCTACCTGGGGGAAAACACAGGTATAGGGAAGACGGGCGGTGGTGGAGCGGTTTGAACCCGGGACACTCAGGTCACTAGTTGGTGACCTAACCACTTGGCCACCACCACAGCTGCCACAAACGACACAGTTCGGTCTGTTTTGCCTCGCACGCAACAGACAATTTGGGGTATAAATTCCGCACAGAAGAAGTCTACACATCATTTTGGCACGCAAACAGCTCAGCTTAGCGTACAGAGCTTAGATTCTCTCTCTCACTCTCTCTAGCGCTGAACAGCGCATTCATATGTGAAATAGAAGCTTATCTGCACGTTTGTTTTTCTTTTCGACTACCTTCAACATGGAATAATTAATCTCCTTACCGACTCGACTGTAAGATTTAGTTTGCCCTTCCTAGCCTCAAAACATTTGAAATTTATCCAACCGAAATCTATCNCGTGAAACTCTCTCCTCTTTTTCATCTTTTTGGCTCTCACCCCAGATTCACCTCACACTCTCATGTACAGTATACCTGAGAATAATGAAGTTTACCATACCCTCTGCTTTATTCCCTGCTGAGTAGCATAATGAAGAAAAGATGATCAAGACCCCACAACTACACAGCTGCATCACGTTTATCGTCTAATCAAACCTGCCTCCGCAAGCCTCAGTGTGGTCGGGTGTGAGTGTCTAGGGTCACTCTTCCCTTGCGCCTTGAGAAATGCTCCCATACAACCAAGCATCCCAAAAAGCCAGTTCTGCTTTACTCACTGCCTTCTCGTGGTTGGAGTGTTTTCCCTTCAAAGTGGGCATCGAGGAGTATTGGGCACCTTGGACGTTTGAGCCCGTCCAAAGGACGTACGATTCGATTAACTGGATACCGGCTCCCAATGGATTGCGGTTTTTTCAGAACACCCTGCTGCGTTGCCGGTCATACTTTGGCAAGCTAAAAACCCTGGTTGCGGATTCCTCAAAAAAATTCACCTGCCTTGGCCTGAGCAATCTGGCAGTATTCAACGGACATTTAAATTGTGGAATGTTTTTCTAATTTTATAAAGATTACTGTACCATGATTTGTTTGGCACACAGTCTAGCGTTAGAAGTGTATGAAAGACATATATATCATCAAACCTACTCTCAAGGAAGCATTTCATGTGAGGAACGATTTTCCATTGGTCTCTATTCCCGGATTTTATAAATGAACAGTGTTACAAATACGCAGAGGGCTACCACCGACGGCGTGGCACTTTCCAGAAATTTTCTCAGACTGATATATTACTCAACAAGCGCCTGGTATGACAACAACTCCTGTCGTTGACATGGTAACAGTGGGTATCTAATTAATTGATCTATTTATGATGACGGAAGAAAATTATAATCAATCATTTTGTGCTTACGTTTAATGGCCTATGAACTACTATCCTCCATGTAGTTCGAATAGGAACCGCACTTGAAATTAGCAATTATTGAACTGCGATTAATATTCCAGGGAACAGAATGGGCGTGCAAAGCCGATGATAATTCCTAACAAGGATTAACTAGCTGGAAGCTGAGGAGCGGGTTACAGTCATACACAGTTAAATGCTTGCATACAAGAGGGACAGAAACTGTACGGATGTACATAAACAGGCATCAGAGTTGGGTTCATGGGATTAGTGAATAGTTTGCGTGGTGCTTTTAAAATTTTCAGTAAAGTTGCAGTCGGAAATTGCATGTTGAATACAACTTTAGTATGAAGCATGAAGTCAACCAAGCTGAATCCACCAAATCGGTATCACGTGGATCGCGATAAAGAAGCCCTGTTCAAATACCTTTCTCTATGTTACTCCACTATATATAAGATCGATTGCTAAATTGCGGTTGTGTGTGGTTTTTTAAATCTTAGTTTGCAGTAGAGCAAAATATGGACAGAAACAAATAAGTTTCTCTGATTAACTCTTCGTGTAAATGAAGCGTGAGCTGAAAAGCTGGGAAGCAGCACTGAACAGCTGTTTCGACCTGGATGGGTCTCATCAGTTGCAGTGCGAATACATCCATCCAGCTGGAGATCGAACCCGGGACCTCACAGATAGTAGAACGCAAGCATACTACCTACTTGGCCATCGGAAGGTGATCAGACAGCTGAGCATACACGATATAGCACAATTCATCTATGCGAGCTTTTTTTCGAGTATCGCATTTCGCTCATATCAGCAACAGCTTCCAGGGTTTTAACTATTTGTTGTATGATCGGGACAAAACAGCTGTCCAGTGCTTTTCAGCTCACGCCTCATTTACACGACGAATTCATCATATGAACAAATCAATTATTCTCATAAAAAATCCGCTCCTCTTACCGAACTGGGATAGATCCAAATGTGTGATCACCGATCCGATAGCGGTTCTAAGCACCGGGGACAGCATTGAGTGCATCACAGAGCCCAGAGTGAGCCTGCTCAACTGGAGCTGGAGCATGTGTGCTGTAGGACGACGCTTCAGACGACCAAATCCAGTCAGGATCAGCTATACACCGAGGAACGAGAACGGGGGTGGGAGAGTCCCGGATGAAACGCGTGAAAAAAACAGGCTTGAAAGTGACGTACTTGAGCCTAAAATCATCAATTGTTCGGAAAAGGAATCAATTACTCCCCATAGTTTCCCGTGTCATTCACAATCTCTCTCATTGATGGTTAAAATTCACCGACCGCCGGCAGTTTGATTCACCGACGGATTGTGGAGAACTACACCTTCACAGTGTAACGAGTGCTACTACCTTTGGCTAATATAAATTTGTTTACGAATTTGCAAAATGGACTTTACTGACGTTGTCGATCAATGCTATGTGGATAGATAGAGTTGCCCTGATGGTTGACATTGAAGCTGATTCCCGTTTATTGCAAAACATGTATCCTTCTCGTGGTCAATGTAACTCTGCTTACAGCCTCAGATGCATAGAAATTAAAGTTTCCGCTAAGGATATCTGGCAGATAGGTTGGGGAATATGCACGACAAAGTAATAACTATTGGTTTGCTTTATAGTTGCTGCAAACAATATGAGAATGATCACTGAAAGATGTGCACATCAGTTAATGAGGTGAACTGTACTCAGTTAGAACAGAAGCTTTTGTTAATAGTTACCATTGCGCTGTAAAGTCTCTTTCATGAAGGATCGTAGCAGATTCAGTGGCAGTTTCGTAACATCTAATTGAACCCAAATCCACTCATCGAAAGCTGATGAATGGGTTGTGCTTTATCGTGTATATTCCAAATGAGAAACGGTCCGAGCAGCTTCCCAGTGGCCGAGTGAGTAGTATGCTTGCGTCCTACTATCTGTCAGGTCCCGGGTTCGAGCCCCACTTTGGTCGATGTATTCGCACTGCAGCTGATGAGACCCAACCAGGTCGAAGCAGATGTCCAGCGCTTCCAAGCCTTTCAGTTCACGCTTATGTGAATATTTAGTGTGGACGATCGAATAGCAGCATTTGTTTCACTGCATTCGACTGTTTACGTTTTAACGTAATACTATTAACAAAATTGTAATACATACTACGTAATTGAACGAGGCACTCTTAGTGAAAACCTTTGTTGGATGCTTTTCAATGATTCTATTTTTAAAAGAATCAGGAGTCTAAATTCGTACCCCCGCGAGAAAATGCCGCTCACATCCGTGTCCAGCGTGCTTTTGATCAGATTGGCGTTTTGTTACATGAATCGCCTCGGTATTTTCACAAATGGTAAGCCACACAAATAGAAGAGGTATACGGACACAGAAGGCTACTTGATATCGTAAATTCACGCCAGAATGAGCTTAAGTGTACCGACTGAAGGCCAAACCTGGGTACAACATTCAAATCTCTTGTTTTCGAAAGGTCTAAAATCATACAGTCTAGTTACGTGGGCTAACCGGCAAGTTTCCAGATGCACAAAAAGTTTGATTTGTTACACAAAAACAAGAATTACATTTTATCGAAATATTCTATATCAGTGTTCATGCACACAGTTACATGAGCTCAAACTATTTAGTGAATCAGCTCTACCATGCCACATTCGATAGTTTGCAGAGAAACGGAAATATGGTTTATATATATAAACAAAGTCTATGCAATGCATTCAGTTTTCCGAATCCCAATCCGCTGAATAGGCAATATGCAACTCAGGTGATTCAGCTCGTCACGGCAATTAGATCATGTGTAATATCGGAAGAGCGGT